AATGGAATTAATGCTTGGACATAATAAAAACAAGAGAGGCTTCTGAATGTTTTGTTGGGTTTAGATTTTTGGTTGTTCCTAGGTGCTGTCTCTGAGCTGCTTTTTGCACAAAGCTAGGGCTTTACCATTTGAGCTCCATTTCAGGCTTTTTGGGTAGTTTAGTGGAGATAAATGTCCATAGGCTTTCCTGTCTGAGCTGGCTTTGAACTGTGGTCCTCACATCTCAGCCTCCTCGGTCAATAAGATTATAGGCCTGAGTTACCTACCAGTGCCTGCTTGTTTTGTTTTGTTGGTTTTTTTTTGGTGACAGCGTCTTACTGTATAGCCTAAGCCAGCCTCTTCACTCAAGTGGTGGAGTCACAAGTATGTAGGTGAAGAGTGGCTCCAAGTTTTAAAAACCGATCCAAACTTTTTTCCCCAGTGTGTGTAAAGGAGTGGTTCCCTTGGGGCCTTGTGCAGGTCCACAATGTTCTGCCTCTGCGTTGTACCCTCAGCATATCCAGTGGGTTTTCTGTTTGATATTGGAAATCTTCACATTTTCATTTTCTTCTGTTTTTGGAGTACTTTTAGGAAAAGAAATGTGGTGTCTGCATGTAGTCCCAGCTGTTCAGAAGGCTGAGGCAGAAAGTTTTTGTTTTTTGTTTTTTTTTTGTTTTATCGGTTGTGGGGCTTGAACTCTGGGCCTGAGCGCTGTGCCTCAGCTCTTCAACTCAAGGCTAGAGCTCTACCACTTGAGCTGCAACACCACTTCCGGTTTTCTGCTGGTTCATTGGAGATAAGAATTTCATAGACTTTACTGTCTGAGCTGGCTTTGAACCGAGATCCTCAGATCTCAACCTCCTGAATAGTTAGGATTACAGGTGTGAGCCACCAGCTCCGGGAAGTGGCGCTGTAGCTCAAGTGGTAGAGCACTAGCCTTGAGCTGAAGAGCTGAGGGATAGTGCTCAGGCCCAGAGTTCAAGCCCCACGACCGACAAAAAAAATAAAAACACCGGCTGAAAGAGTTGAGTACTCAAGTTCAAGACCAGTCTGGGTAACATGATGAGACACAATAAAGTCATAAAGCGCACATGTCATGCGATTCACTTCCAAAATGAAACAAAAATATAGAAGTTTGCCAGGTGCCAGGTGGCTCACACCTGTAATCATAGCTACTAAAATCTGAGATCTGAGGATCACAGTTCAAAGCCAGACTGGGCAGGAAAGTCCTTGAGACTCTTACCTTCAGTTAACCACCAAAAAGTCTAGATGGAACTGTGACTCATAGAGCACTAATCTTGAGCAAAAAAGCTAAGAGACAGCACCTGTGCCTGAGTTCAAGCGCCAGATTCAGTGCACACACATTAATTTATACATTTCTAGTGAACGGAAAAAAACAAGTTGCTGTTGAGTTTCTTGAATTTTGGAGTAATTATAGGTAGATGTTGTTTTTAGGGAAAAAGAAAAAGATTACTGATAGATGATGTTTGAAGTCCTACCACTCAGCATAGTGAATTGGCACATCGTCTGTCATATTTCTAGTAAATTGGTCTGGTGATCATGTAATCTGGTTAGACACCTACTTTTTCAGGCATCTCTACTGCTGTATGCAGGAAGCTTTCTGTGGTAGTACAGTGTTGGTATTATATTCAGTTCACTAGTGATGTCTCTTCATCTCATCCTGGTAGGCTGGTTCAGAAGGTTCTGTGGGGTTGTGAGCTTGAGCCATTTGCCACAGCCTGTGTGTCTTTATTTATTTATTTAGGGTCCAGTGGTGGGGCCTGAACTCTGGGCCTGGGCGCTGTCCCTCAGCTCTTCAGCTCAAGGCTAGCGCTCTACCACTTGAGCCACAGCA